ACATGTTTTCAGTTTTCTTTCTACTTATGTCAATTCTGGCGAGAAATTAATTGTCGAAATGAGCCGGAAAAGAAAAACAATTTCGCCAACTGGCTCAGAAGCTGCGAGGATGGACAAAACAACAACAAAAAAAACACGGATAATTTTGGAATAATGTAAAAAGAAAAACAAGAACAGTACCATCTTCCCTCATGAACACTGGTGGCCACTGTATGACCTGTCTTCTCCATTACATAAGTTCGACTCTACACAACTGCACTACAGTATGTCGCCTGCCCCGCCCACTTTGCATTGCTAGTAGTGGCTCCACCTCTTTTTGCCACAAATGCTAGTTCACATTGAAAAAGAATGACTTTGGAGGTCATACACATCATACCCAGTTGACCATCTACGTCAAAACAATTATTCCACAGCAAACAAACCTTGGATACTTGGGGACACATGGCTCGATTGAGATCTTGGACCGATCCTATTGCGCATGTGGTCCGACATTTCTTCCTGCTCCACATTCACAACTTTAGTCATCTGTTTGCAGAGCTCCAATCATATTCTGTCATACGTGACCTTTCATTAAGTGTGCATAGAGACATTATGAATAAAAATAAAGCGAGGAACGATGCAGCAGAGATCGTTGGAACCTTTGGTGAATGTGAATTGCTAGTACTGTGATGTAGCATGATGTAGAGTAAACATCATATAGTGGACTCTAGGATAGACATTTTGGCTAATAACTTTTCTCAATGGACGTACAAATAAAAAAAAGTATGAGAGGCCACACCCACAAGTTTTTAGTTTGTTGTTGATTTGTTTTACACCCCCACTGTTATGTGTTAGTGTAAGGCGTACTGTTTACAATTAATATTTGATAGAAGTCTTTCTGTTTTTTGCATCACAACTGTGATATTGAGAGCTATCACACTTTGTTGTGTCTGCTTCATCGTTTCACCTTAATCAAATGTCTTGTTTTGTTGTAAAAAAACAAAAAAAAAAACCCCTCATATCACTTCCTCTTGGCGGAGAGTGGGGTTTTAGAGCTAGAAAAATGCTACTTTGGGTTTTTTCCATGACGTGGTGTTTTTTTTTTTATGTAGTAGCGATCGAGAAATGTTTAGCGCTGTGTTTACTCAGAGCTCGGAGAAGCTCGGGTCGAGTTAAGTACAGAAACCGTAAAAGGCGTACGGGGCCAAGCTCAGCGTCCATTACGGGCAGGATGGAGGAAGTGATCGAGAGAGCAATCGAATCCTGTCATTGCCTTCAACCATATCCATGTGTCGGCTATGAGATCCAATTATGAAGTCTTTGAGATCGGGGGAGTATTTTATGAATTTCATGATTGCATGAAGGCTCTCTCAGCTCTCGTCTGCTCACTCTCTTTCTCTTTGGCATGTAAATCTTGTCCATATTTCTTCATTTAGAGCTGGTTAGAACTGCGTATGTGAGTGTGTGTTTGTGTGTGCGCGAGTGCACACGCGTAATGACACTGCTGCCTCCTCTAACAGGGTCATTTGTTGCTTTTCCAATATACCATTACACGGAAAGTGCAATCCCTCACTCAAATGGAAAATGTGTCCAACCTCGGCGTGGAAAAGAGAGCGAAGCCTGATGCCGACCCGATTGTTTTCCTCATGTTTCCTCAACAAATCTCGCACTGGATCTCGTTCGGCTTTTCTTATTTTTATTTTTATTTTTTTCTCCTGTGAATTTTCTTGCATTATACACACTTTATGAGTGCATTATGTCGACTTAGTGACTGAACCTCATATAATGGAGCATTACCAGGCCCATATGCAGCATATTCTACAATAATACAGTTTATTCAGTGATATTCAGCTACAGCTTGCACTAATGTAAATGTACAATGATGTTTTGGCAGCCTTAATGAATATGAGGAAAAGATTACATTATAAAATTATAATATTTCATTGCACAAACTTCATCCATAAGATCATAATAATCAATCATAATAATGATAATAATTACATCATAATAAACCAATCAGACTGTAAAAAACTTGCCTTTCGTATAATTACCATAATTTATACTTATAATAACTGCTTTTCTTAAGTAATAACACTATATGCTCATGCGTACAAAGTTTTGGCACACCATGAAATCTTTATAATATATGCAAATTGACGTCATTTTTAAAAAATGTGCACTTTTTCCAGTTGCTCTCCAAAAACTCTATTGATGGCTTCATGCATGAACTCTGAAGGATCACCCAAAGTTTTGAGTGTGTATGGTTCCATATGATGGACTGCTGTCTCATCTTGGATGTATTCCCTCCTCAAGCCCAGTGTTCCCAGTATGTGCCCTGGATCCTCCAAGACCCTAACCAGGATAAAACACTTACTGAAGACAAATGAACACACAACAATATTGTAATTGTGTCTTGGCATAAAAAAATGTATATATTTTGATTTCATCTATCAGGTTATGTCTTAAGGTGTTATCTGACTGATTTTTTTCATTAAGATGAGGGTTATGCTTAAGGATGTACAAGTTTTAGGGTTAAAACATACATCCGTATCACTAAAGATGTGCTTCCAAGAACGAAATTCTATAAAGAATTTTAAAGGACCTTAAAATGTTCTGCAGGAAGAAGAGTTCAAGACCATCAATGTCATTGTTAGACATTACAGGAAGATACTAAATATTAACTTTAAGGGTGACATCAAAGGATTTTTTCCTTTTTACTACTCGTGGGAACTTTATGTTGAAAACAATATTGCATGAAAATATGCTATATTTTTATTAATTTCTGCACATTTTGATAATGGTAATGCATCTTTATTAATCACATATGCATTACATCACAATTCAGTTATTTTCTTTGCATACCCCAGAATGTCATGAAGCTGGGGTCAGAGTGCAGGGTCAGCCAAGGTTAAGGGTCTTGCTCAAGGGCCCAACAGTGGCAGCTTGGCATTGCTGGGGCTTGAACTCCCAACCTTTTGATTAGTAACCCAATTAAGTAACCCCTTTAACCACCAAGCCACCACTCCCCCCACAGCTTATTGAACAATGTCAAGATTCTTGAGTTGAATGTAAACGTGCATGCCTTTCATATGCAATAATCCCAGGATTTTGTTTATATGCAGTATGTAGATCGAAACTCTATTCTCATTTCTTGAAAATAAATAAATAAAATAAATTAGCCAGAATGAGAAGATTAACAATCTTGGTAGGTACATTAGCTTTGACAAAGCAGCCCCATCTATAAAAAGAAGACACGAAGCAAGCCGCTGTAATAGAAACTATAGATCAGATGCTGGGAACTGCAGAGAAAGTCTTCTGTTTGAAAATGAAATTACAGCATGAAAAATGTCAGTATACATTTCAAAAAATTGTGTAGGATGCCGTAGAAACAGGGACTAATGAGAGACAAATTGCCCTCGATGGTTATTCCTACTCCTAAACAACAAGGCTGGTTGATCTGAGACAGAGACTGAAGGGAGGGAAAAAAACAGAGAGAGAGAGAGAGAGAGAGAAAAGAGATTTCACTCTTCACTGCATTGATATCCACTAGAGAGGCTCATGTTCTCTTGCCCTGTCCTTCTTCTCTCCCAGTAGGGCTTCGTTCTTGCTTTAAGAGAACAGACGGATGGATAGAGGCGGTGTTTAGTCTGCGTTAGCCTTTTCCCTGCTGATCAGATGCATCAGAGTTCAGTAATGATCCCCTCATCGACGGAGCAGTCAGAATGCCGCTTCCCCACCGAGACCTAAACCTAACACATTAGCACTATGTGTGTGTGTGTGAGTGTGTATGCAGATGATGGACACATTATCGCCTCTTTAATGCGAACACACCCACATGTTTGTCTTATATGAACATATCCTCATACATATGCATGTCCCTGTATACACACACGCCTTCGTGCTTCACTGTGCTTCTCATTTCTGGATGTCTGACGCTCAGTTGCTGCTCCACTGAATGTGACTTAATGAAAAGCTCTGACACACAGCGTGTGTTTATGATCGGGATAAACGCCGCACTCGTGCACCTCCCTGCTTCCAGAGTAATTAAAGGAATTAGCCAGAACACCATGGTGTGTGCAGAGTGCTGAGTAGATCCAGGCCAAACAAATGGGAGGAAAAAGAGATGATTGCTGATGCCAGGATTAGAAAGAGCAAAATTGGTTCACCGAATAGACATTAATGCCACTAGGACTGGTCTTTTTCGAAATATTCTCTTCAAGGTTACGCATGTTACAGTGCTGCCAACATGCTAACAAGATACTCCTAGCATGCGTAGAGAGAGAGAGAAAGAGAGAGAGAGAGAGAGAGAGAGAGAGAGAGAGAGAAAAGAAGGTAATTCGACCCCAGAAATGCTCACATATGGCAATAGACCAGATGGCTTTAAGTAAAAAAACAAACAAACAAACAAACATGTTTTATTCCCTGCATTCAGATCTAGACAGGCTTTCTGGTAGCATGTGGTCTGCTTGATCATGTGAACCATGTGAATCATGTGAATGAATGAAGAAATGTGAATAACTTTTTTAAGCATTTTGCACCACAGGAAAGTCTTCAGGACTGAAGAGTTTATTGACACTTTGCAGTTCCTCTGTATTATTTTTTACTTTCTGTTCTGTTCATGTTCTCCACCTGTCTATGTGGGTTTTCTCTGGGTTATTCAGTTTTCTCAAACCTGCTACAAAACATGCCATTAGGTTTGGTAGGCTTTAGGATTTAACAGTATACAGTAGGATACAGTAAATTGCACCTACGTAAGTCTGAAAGAGTGTGTGTGCATGGTGGTCTAAAGTGTACAGGCATCCAATGCAGGGTGTGTCCATAGTGTATACACAGTGTTCCTGGAATAGGAGTCATGATTCATGCCCACCATGACCAGGATAAGATGAAAAACATGCATGAGGAAAAACATGGGAACGACTGTTCATGAGTGAAAACAGGAAGTAAGATGTCTTATGGATGTTCCATAATATTAAATGTAACTATAAATGGATAAAAAAAAGTATGATATGGAACTTTGGAATAGCATGGTGGTTTAGTGGTTAGCATGTTTGCCTCACAACTCTGGGGTTGGGGGTTCAAATCCTGCCTCTGCCCTTTGTGTTTGGAGTTTATATGTCCTCCCTGTGCTAAGGGGGTTTCCTCCTGCAGCCCAAAGATTTGATTGTTGGCTGATTGGCATTTGCAAATTTTCTGTAATGTGTGTGCAATTGTGTCTTACTGTTGTCAGGTTGGCACCTGGACGACAGTAATAAAAACCACTTCACTATACTCATGACTGGATCCAGTACACAATAAAAGAAAAATTCTCAACTCCACTCCTCTTTACAGTTTGTTATTTTCCCTACTTTCAACACATCTGGCTACCTCGTGGCCAGATGTAGCTTAATAATTAACTGATCAGTCGGAATCTCCAGGGCGGAAGGAAAGTCCAGAGAAGACCTGCTGTGTGGTCACAGGGAAAAGGAAGCAGGCATCAAGATGGCAGGAGTAGACACAAACACACACCCAGTAGTGTACAAAGTGTCAAAAATAATTGGCTCAGATTGCCAGGCACCATTATCAAGACACTGTAATTGACAAAAGACACAATATGCCTGGCTGATTCAATACACCCGATACACACTGAAGCACAAGGCGAAAAGTACTAGTTTTATTTTATTTTTTTCCAGATTCAGATTCCCAAAACTGAGTAGAAATCTGCATATCAGGGTTAAAGTATTGTTATTTTGTGTAAAAATTACTACAGAACCCTGTGGGATACCAGTTCCTAAGTCAAAATTATGTATCATGAAGTATAAAGTTTTGTCTTTTTATGGCATGCCTTGGTCTGTCATGTACAACGATGATACAGTATTATAATTAAGTAACTTTTAAGAAACAACACTAAAAGTATAAAAATGTGTACACTGCAGAGCTTAATGCACTTGTTTTTCTGCAGTATTTCCCGTTTAAGAGCTTGTACCTAAGGAAGTATTTGTGTGTATACTCCAGTTCCCATGTTCCGCTAGCTGTCAGAAATGTTTCCAATCTCCATGAAAACTCTCTCAGGAACAGCGCAAGGTGCCGGCAAGAGAAATTTTCTCACCAGCGGTGCTAGACGGCGTATCCTGCTTTTATTCTCTTTCCCCTGCTCCAGCGGCTGAGAGCGCCTCCTGTCAAAGATGGCTTCCTGGTGATAGTGGTCATAAATATTCCATCTTTCTTCTTCAGGACTAGTTTTTTTTTTTTTTTTTTTCTGGTGAGTATGCCTTCCAAGCATGTCGGCAAGCATACTTATACTCTCGACAAGACCTGATCAAGGTTCTGGCTCCATGGTTGACCTTTTAGGGTCAGATTGTACATTCTGAGGATCTGTGCAAGGACTAAAACAATGAGATTCACCTGCCAGGATTAAGGATTTCAGCAGTGTAGCCAAACCTAAGCTTACTTTCTTTCTACATTTAATTCTGTGAGAAACTTCTGCACCAGCTCTAAGATATGACCTGTCTCTCTGTTCAGATTCCTCTTGAGGTATGTACAGATGTACCAGATGAACCCTAACCCTATCCCTAAATTTATTGGATTATATACCACTTGACTTCTGGAATAATGAAGCAAACACAAAACTAATCTCACTAGCCCTTTCAGTGGTATTGATTTTTTTTTACTTATTATTTGACCCTGTCCATGATAAAGCATCAACTAAATTAATTTCTTAGTTATTATTATTATTATTATTATTGTTGTTATTATTTTATTTTTATTATTTTTAGGTGGTATTCCCTTTAAAACGTGTAAAGGTTTGGAGAGGATGATAGCTCAAATCTATTCAGTATTTATAGAACTTTATAGAACAGTACATATTTAGGACACCCAATGACCATCCTTCCATCCCATTTATTCGACACATGGGGAGCCTGGAGCCTTTCCCACGGAACTTGGGGCACCCTGGACATGGTGCCAACCCATCTCAGGGCACAATCAGACACACTATGGACAACTTGGAAATGCCAGTCAGCCTACAAAGCATGTCTTTGGAGTGGAGGAGGAAACTGGAGTACCTGGAGGAAACCCCTACAGAATCAAACCCCCAACCCTGGAGCTGCAATTATATTTAAAAATGACAAATTGAAAATATGATTTGCAGCTGTGTGGGGCACAGTAGCTTAGTGGTGTCCCCTGTCTTGTGCTCCAAGTTCCCTGGGATAGGTTCCCCCCCATGATCCTGTGTAGGATAAGCAGTATGGAAAATGACTGGATTGATGGATGGATGGATTTGCAGCTACTGACATGACTTGAGCTTAAAATCACTCATTCATGGAGTCTCAGCAAGCACTTTATCATGGTTAAAGATGCAGTGCAATCCAGAGCTGAACCGGGAAACATCCAGAAAAAGATGGGCTGCACTTTGAGTCTCTGAAGGTTCCTTCATCATGCCTTCTCAGGGAGATGTTTCTTGTTACTCTTACCTCTGACCTTTATTAGAGATCTGAATACAAATCCACATCTGTAAATCTGATAATGTCTGTTGTTAAATGCAGTTTGGCTTGTAAAATGCTATGAAAAAAAGTGTATATGAACTTTATATGACTCTGTGTGTGTGTGTGGAACTCTGTTTCACACTGCTGAGCTCAGCTCGGCGAGAACTTCCGTCAGCGCTTTGCATATTATTGAAGAGACTACGTTTGAAAGCGCAATGTCAAATTTGAACTCCGCTTACACCCACGGTTTTTCCCTTTTTTTTTTTTCAAATATGCCTAGATCCCAATAATGACCTCTATAAGAGCAATGTGATGGAAATCCATCGTGCTGATGGCGAAGTTTAATCAAACACGAGGCAACATTGATGAGAAATCCATTTCTTTTCTTTAAACCAGGCGGAGCGTGGGCTTGGCTTGCTCGGCCAGCGAGCCTGTTTAATGGTATGCATTTCATTGAATTATCCCACACAAATAAAAAGGCTTTTCATGATCATATGCTAGAGGAGCAGCAAAATAAACAACCTACTGTATAAATAAACAACCTACTGTATAAATACAACGCACAGAGTGCACCTCTACTAGTCTCATGCTACACTCCAAAAAATGCCAACAAAACTAAACTAATAGGAATGTAATTCATGTTAAGCAAAAGAGCAAAATGGGTGGTGCTGTCTGGGTGGGAGGGGCATACCGTCTCTCCAATTCCAATCAAAATGATTCTAACCAATTGTGGGCATCTGTGAGCTCATGTATGTTGAAGATCGTAGATAGTGCTTTCCTGTGAGTGTTACACTGCCCTGTATCGTAGCATTAGCAACAGTTCAAAAAAGATTCCATTGACTGGCACGTGTTAGAATTCACCCTAGCCGGAAACTGACCAAAAATCCCCCACATTAAACTGCAAAAGAGTAGTTACTCATTACATGAGTAGTTCATGTAATGTTAGCATGCCATCCCCTAGCTTTTGGGTAAATGAAACACTTAAAATCCTTAGAAAACAGCAGGAATATATCAGAAAATATTTTACGCCTTATTTCCCCTGCAGTCGGAATGAGGAGAAAAATCAGAACAGCACAGGCTAGAAAAACAACATGAACATGCATCTCACCTACTGTGCTACACCCTTCATTAGTGTGTATCCACATCTTCTTTTCTTGCTTCATCCTGGGCCTTGATGAGGCCCTGTGCTTTATGGCATTGTAAGGAGTCTCGTACATTACAGTGTGATGAAGCTGCTGCAAATAACCTCTATGTAATACATACATGTGTTAAAGCTAGTGCAAATAATATGTTCTGCTGTGTTCTCGCCTATGCGCCTCCGTCCCAGAGCTGTCATGGCTTCCTGCATCGCAGGAGAAGTGCAACATACCAACAGTGTGAGAATAATAAGTAGCTAGCATGGCAGTTCTATTAGAACAGTTAGCATGCTAGCAAAGTGGTCTAGCAAAGTGTAGGGTGAAATTTGGCTTCCTGAGCGTTTTGGAGCAATTTAAGGCTTACCGTGGACAGATGTGTGCATGATGGGAAGATCACACAGTCTCCGAGATCTCCTGTGCTGAGGATAATGAGGCAAGGAGAGGGAAATTAGCCGAGAAATGCTTGTATTAAACACATCCTTAACCAGAGGGTGGGCTTTTGTGTCGAGCTTGTGAGCTTGTGAAGCCCACCGTTTCGGCTCTGTTGCTCATCAGATTAGGCTTTTTGTTTCACTAGGCAGCTCCATTTCATGAACAAAGCTATCCTTTCTTTGCCTATTGTGGCCTTTTTTCCTTCTGATGTGTTTAGTAGGGCTTACACGTATGCTACAGGCAGCTCACACACGCACACCATTTTCTCAGCTTTGGCTGTGTGTGGCGTGTCTCTGACTCATTTTGCTTGACTGGGCTGTGAGAGAACCAACAGTGTGAGGTGAATAATAAGCAGAGTTCTATCCACGCACACACACACACACACACACACACACACACAAATTCATACATACGGAACTTTAACCATGCAAGATAACAACACATGGTATTACAGGATGTGCTATCAATGTGTGCAAAAGAAATAAAGGAGACCTTGATAACTTTAGCATTTCTGATAACTTTGTCTTGACCCCACAGGAAAAAAATGAAAAACAACATAAGCCAACACCAAAAGAGAACAAAAAAAGGAATTTGTAAAGACTTATAGGTTTACTGGACGGAAAATTGAATGCTCTTGTCAAATTGTGTAATAACATGACCTCAATGGGGATAGAAACAGAGATTGGATGACAACATTTATCAAAGGGAGAGAACCAAAAGTGAATCTGAGCATTGAGCTCTGACTAGCTCCTATGCCACCACTTAAAACTTCAAATAAATACATCTATCTACAGAGTCAATCACCAAAACTGCACTACTCACACAAATACACACCAGCACAAATACTGAGGAGCCACAAAGTGTCAATATGATTGGCTTTAACTGCCAGATATAAATATTATCAGAAAGAGCCACTATCTCTGACACTGACAGACAATATGCTGTAATGTGTGTGTTCAAGGAACGACCGCGTTACTGAAGGGCTACAAAGTATATTGTGTGTTAAGAATGCATCATTACCAATACTGGTATAATTTACTTATAATTTACTATAAAAATACCAAAA